TGAGCCGAGATCGTGCCATTGCACTCCAGCCTGAGTAACAAGAGCGAAAGTCCGTCTCAAAAAAAGAAAATATCAAATTGTTTTCAAGTAGCTTAATTGCATCTCAGAACAAAGTTCAAGAATATGTAAAGGAATGAAGATGTCCTGCAAGGAACAATAAGAAATTCACAATGTCTGAAATCCAATCAAAATTGCCAGGCATGCATAGAAGAAGAATATGACCTATAATGAGGAGAAAAATCAGTCTATAAAAACAGACCCAATGAAATGGATTATAGAATTAGTGAACAAGGAAGTTAAAGCAGCTATGAAAAGTTACTCCATATGTTCTAGAAGGTAGAGGGCAACAAGAGCATTTTAAAAAAGAGATGTGAAAGAGACTTTTTAAAAAAGACCCAAATAAAATTGCTAGAGATGAAAAACACGTCATTAACAAGAGTTGATGCTGTAGAAGAAAAGTTTAGTAAATTAGAAGACATAGCAGTGGAAATCATTTAAAATGAAACACACAGGAAAAAAGAAAAACAAACTAAAAAGCACAGTGCATCACTGAGTATATGAAAATATGTAATTGGAGTTTCTGAAAGAGAAAAGGGGAAGGAAAGGGGAGATAAAAAGAATCGAAGAAATAATGACTGAAAATATTCTAAATTTCACGAAATTTATTGAAATTTTATTCCAAATTATTTACCAAAGGTCTAGTGGATTCTTTCTTTTTCTTTTGTTGAGACAGTCTTGCTCTGTCACCCAGGCTGGGGTACACTGGCACAATCTCAGCTCACTGCATCCTCCACCTGCTGGGTTCAAAAGATTCTCATGCCTCAGCCTCCCGAGTAGCAGGGATTATTGGAGTGTGCCACCACACCAGGCTAATTTTTGTAATTTTTAGTAGAGATAGGGTTTTGCCATGTTGGCCAATCTGGTCTTGCACTCCTGACTTCAAGGGATCCACCCACCTCAGCCTCCAAAAGTGCTAGGATTACAGGCGTGAGCCACTAGTGCCTGGCCAGATTATTTCCTGAAGCCATTCAAGACAGTCATTAGAAACTACAAAAACAAGAAATTTTATTTTTTTATGGACCCACAAAAAGATAGTAGTTTGTGGTTAACTCAGAAAAAGAGAGAGAGAGGCATACAAAAGACGGGAAGTGGCAGATATCTCCTACTTCTTCAGAACAAACTTCAGGTGATTTAATTCCAGCTCACTGATGATTTTAGATATTGAACATCTCCCAGAGATCATCTTATCTAATTTCCTTGGCTTATAAATTCAAGAACCAAGAATAAAGATATTGAATGACTTGTCCAAAGTCACATAAAATGTTAGTTACAGAATTGTCACTAGCACTGAAGTTCCTTGATTTCCAGTATTCTAGGACTCTGGAAGCACTCTAGGCATTCCAGCAAATCAGAGAGAAAAACATCTCTCTCTCCTTTTTTTTTTTTTTTAAACCCTGGGCAATCCATAAGGTATCCCCAATGTACAAGTAAAATTCTCTGATCACATTACTCATTTTAGAGAATAACTATGAAAATGTGATCTGCTTCAAGGATGGATAGTCTGGTTTAACTGGCTATGAGGTTTGCTTAAGGATCAATGAGAGAAAGTACCTAGTAGTGGCTCCAGGACCTGGAACCCTATCACAGGACTGTGAGGGCAAAACTATTTTCTTAATAATGCTAAGACACTATTTGCCTTTTCATGCTCCTTCTTTTGTAAATACACAGTGGAATTTTCCAGAATCTACATGATGTATGATATCATAGCAGATTGAATGTACAAGGAGGTGTGAGACTACAGCTGTCTTCTATTGTCAGGCATTAGAAAATTAGAAAAACAATGCTACCATTCTCACTTTTTTTGTTCTGAAAATGTAATTTTTTCATAAAATATGTTATGTTAACATGTAACGGGTTTGTTGTCGCTGTTTAAAAATATATAATAGCCTGGGCATGGTGGCTCATGCCTGTAATCCCAGCTCTTTGGGAGGCCAAGGCAGGCAGAGCACAAGGTCAAGAGTTCAAGACTAGCCTGGCTGATATTGTGAAACCCTGTCTCTACTAAAAATACAAAAAAAAATTAGCCGGAATGGTGGCAGACATCTATAATCCCAGCTACTTGTGAGGCTGAGGCAGGAGAATCGCTTGAACCCGGGAGGTGGAGGTTGTGGTGAGCCAAGTGGCGCCACTGCATTCCAGTCTGGTGACAGAGAAAGACTCTGTCTCAAAAAATAAATAAAATAAAAAAGAAAAACAGATTAAGCAAATTAGGCAAACCATATTACTTTAGCAAAGTACTTTCTTT